AAGAAGAAAAACACGAATTTTCTGTACGGAAATGTGTACAGAGAAAAACCGGTTTTTCGCTGTTTTTTTCTAGTTCCCGGCCTAAAAAACTCGCTCAAAACCTCACAAAGAGCCTTGAAAAGAGGTTTTTTGTTGGTTTTGCGATGTGCTCTTTCATATGGACAGATCAACAAATTTTTTTGGTGCAAATGATTTTTCGGCCTAAAAACTAAGATCTTTGAAAAACGGGGCTTTAAGGTGAAAGCGGGCAAAAACTATTATGATATTCGGAATCAGCATGTTCGATTACCCCGTGTCAACTAAGTTAAAGCTCAAAAGCGAGGGATCAGTCGGTGGCCTTCCCTCGTGAGCTATTTCCACTTTACGAAAAGTTGGATGTTTTAAATTTCAAAGTAAACTCAGAAACTGAAGTTTTGAGTTGAAGGCTTTGTTTTTTCTGAAAACATTCGCCTTTCGACGCTGAATTCAAATATGTCGTTAAAAATGTTTCATATCTTAAGAGTGAATTTTAAAAATGGTTTTAAAAAGTACAAGTAGCCCGAGAACCCTACTTTCGAGAGTTTTAGAGAAAACTTTCTACAAAAGAAAAGGAAGAGGACGTTACGAAACTCTTTAGCACCGAGTTTCATAAAGTTTGGTTCAGTGATTATCGAGGTAGCCTAGATCAACTTTCTCGTGTAACACGCTTATTTTGTTATTTCTGAATGAAAATGAGTGAAAGTTTCTCTACGATTGCAGAGAAGAATATTCTGCATCTTTTTATAAGCGCAATTCTTTTTTTGAGAAGTGTTCTTCGAGTAGAAACTGATTTCCAAGAAACTCCTAGCTTTCTAGCTGTTTTACATGGTCGTTTCCATTTACCCCACTAACTTTCACGTACGTTTCCCATTGCCCCAAATGGGGTAATCAGAAACATTTGAAAATTTCTCAGTATTTACCTTTTTAATTAGAGCTCAGCCTAATTAATGGGTAGAGCTTGGAGATTCCTACCATTTGTAGAGCAATAATTGGCCTATTTACCTGAGCAAAAATTATTAATTAGTATCATTGGCTTAACGAGAAAACTGTTTTTTTTCTAATGACTTATTTCCCGTTGCTTACCCATAAGGAGGAAAAATTATCAATCACTACTACCCAAACCTTGTTTAACATAGAGAAGTAAATGTGGCATTTAAACTGCCTAAGTGGTGTTTAAAGTGACTGTCACTTATAAGTGTATGCACTCTTTTACGAGGTTGTTTACCGCTTGGAGATACCTCATACCCTATCATGCGTACAGTATATCGAGAGTTTTACGTGGTGTCCGACTCTAGACCTTTTACTAGAAGGAAACGCATATTTTAGGACTTACTAAGTCGTCTTAAAGCGTCTCAGTTTAACTAAAACTTACAGCACAATAAAAGCGCATCTCTAAAATATAGGCGCAAGTAAACTGAAGCTGTCGAAACAAACTTTGTAACGTAGAGATGTGCGGAACCAGATACAGTCCGCAATTAGAAGAACGTAAAAAGGACTTTTTTTGAAGTTTTACATGACCGAGACCGAAGAAACATTTTCCCGCTTGGAGCTGGACTAATACAGAAAAACTCGGTCCGGCACATTTTGATCGTTCAAATATTCCGGTAAGCAGTAGATTTCCGCCCTTCCAAGTCGATTCAAGATTTTACTATCATAATCACAAGCTCAATCAGCCATATTTCTAATTTTTTTCGGCTATTCTCTCGAAGAGCACTTTAAACTTGTTGTCGAAGAGAAAATATTTACGTTAAAAACAGCGTACTATCGTTCTCAATTAAAAAACTATAAGCCTTTTAATATTTTTTGATCTATTAATTTCTGCTAAGAAGGAAGAGATCAAAATGATTTAGAGGAGAGACAAAGGGTATACTAATATAAAAAATACACCATACTGTTTCGTCTTCAAACGACCGTTTCATTCTATCTACTCTTTTCTTCTCCATCTTCAAACATGTATCCTTTTGCTCTAATTGCCATTTCATTATTAACGATAAATGCCGCATCAAAATTTCAAAGCGATAGCGCCTATGGTTTATCATATCTTGAGTTTCATGAAGGGTAAGTTTAGGGATCAAAAACCTGTTTGTCTCTTCCGGTGCTCCTTATGTTGTAGACAAAAAGATGCCGTGTAACAGCTTCATCGTCACAAAATGTACGACGTTAGCCTTAGGTTTGGTTCTCTAAAATGAGACATCTTTAAATGACGAAATCCGCTCTGACTTGGAACTTTTTCTTCCTGGAACCAGACGGGGAATGTTGCGCTTCAGGATGCTCTATCATATGTCCTATTGCTGAGTCCTGCAGAATAAGACTTTTTCATATCGTAAATCCTACTCTACAAACGTTTTCTTAGAGTAACCCTCCCTACCCTACGGACTTTGTAGCCTATATCTCTCCGTATCCTAAGGTCCATCAGAAATCTCTAAAAAGTTCTAAAACCCTCTGTAAACTGATTTTTGAAAAACGATCTTTGGCTGTTTTTCATACGTAACCATAATTTGTTTCACTGTACCCTGCTGGAACAGCCTTATGGTCAGACAAAGTCGGTTCGATAAAGTAGTGAATCAATGTGAATAAAAGCAGAAGGGCTCGTGAGCGTTGAGAAATTGCACAAACTTAAACTTCAGCACATTTTCATTTTAGATTATTTAATCCTGTACATTTTAAAAGTTCGTTCACCAACTTTCGAAGTGTAAAGGATAGTCATTTTATCAGAAATAAAACATTAGAATCAGACAAGACATTCTTTTGGTCTGGCTTATGTCCAAAACAACATTATCCAAAATGTAATTGTGATTACAGCCAAGGAATAGCAAAAGAAATTGCTTTATACTATGGTGGACACACATTAGAAATGTTAGATGATAAGCAAAATAATTTTGGCTTACCCAATTATGACTTTGATGATACAACAATTAGAGAAAAATGGATTATGTTATCAAAAGAATATGCCTATAAAGCACGAGGTACAGTACGACTAATTAAAGGTAATTGTTTTAATGTAAATGGTGTTTACCAACAATACGAATTAAAACAATTGAAAGAAAATCGTAAAAATGGGATTCCCGTCAATTTTGGTGAAACATTAGATGTAGCTGATGTTTATTGTAATAAAATTAAAAGACCAAAAAATCAACAAGCATTTCAACAATTTTGTAGTTAATGTTTATTTGGAGTACAAGAATAAAATAAAATGAAAAAACATTTATACAAAACTGGGTAATGTCACGACAGAAAGAAAAATCTTGAAGTCTCAAGTGATTTCCCATCTCGTGAGGAATTCTTCATCACATAAAATAACATTAGGACTTCAAAGGAACTAAAGTCATAGCTAAGTAGCCCGCCGCTGTGGGGCTAAATCTCTAAACTTAGGCATGTCTGTCCAGTGGCGAACTTTACAAAGAAATTAAACTAACAAACTTCGATCAACACTCTTACACTGTATACTCTTCTGATATACAGTTATTATCGTAGAACTAATAACTATTTGTAATAACATATCTCATAATCAGAAAACACACTTTGGAACGATTCAGAGTGAGAAATAACCAAAACCCAGAAAAGCCGGAAATAAGAATAGAACACAATGAATGTTCCAAAATCGAAGAAGGAAATTGAGAACATTCTGGAAATGTGCGTCGCCTGTAGCTGTAATATACTGAGATCGTTCATCACTAATTATGATACCTGTGACGAACAAATACATGAGGGATATATACAAGGCAACGACTGAACTTACGGAAGGATCAGAATCTTGAAATAACACAATCGGTTTCACGTAATTAGGAAAAATGTATATATCCCCCCGGAAAAAAATAGTTTCAGTCGGTATTTCTCATATATTGTCACCAGAACAAAATAGTTTTAAAAACCAATGAGATATTCTGGAAGCCCGTGGAGTTTTCTGTAACCCTATGTATTTACATTTTGGTTTTCGGTTACGTATCATGGAAAAATATCGGGTACAGCACAAGCACCCTCAACCCGAGATTCCCTGACACAAAATTTTTTTTGTACACTCAAAGTTAGTTTTTTAATTTTTTCACCATCATAAAACTATATTTAAAAAAAAGCAATTACGTATTCTGATAGAGCTTCAAATTCTCTATCATCCTGTCTATTTATTTAGTTTCTTGCATTTATATGTAAAAAAAATTTGAATAAAGTAAAGAGATGTCGACTTTACAAAGACAAAAAATCGATATGTTTTTTACTGTTTTTTTGAGCTTTTTCGAAATTTTTATCTTTAAATAAATAAGTTATAAAACGTTATAAACAAAATAATTCGGTGCTTATGCAACCAGTTATGTGCTGTTGGTGTATGTGCCCAGGTAGGACGATCATGTATAAAGTAATAATTTGTTATGGATCGGAAATGATTATAAAATGCTTGTTGTAAATATCGTACAAAAGCTGATGCATCGGTTCGTTCACGAATAAACACAAGGTTCGACCGGCTGTTGTACCACACACCACCAAATACAGCAATTCTATACTGTATTTGACTACGATATGATAAAGGCCGAGGACGATTACGTGGTATCCAATGAAC